TCATTTGTTCCTTTCTGCTTGTGTTCATCTGGTAGTGTTGGTGTTGCTCACCCTTCCACTTATAATGCCCTGTAAATTGTTTCTCACTGATTATCAGGTTGGCTACTGTCTACATTGAAATATTTATGCATTTTCTTGCAGGTCAGAGACACCTGCAGTACACACTGTGAAGTGAAGGCTTTAAAGAAAATCTCAGTTCAGGTCAAGAGACCAGAGAGTTGAACCAGTACACTTTCTGTCCAGTTCCAACTTGATTTCAGCTGTTACTGAAGTTAATTTCGATATATTCTTGTTTAAGGTGAAGCTGGTTCACTACCTGGTTTGGTCAGCTTAGGCTGTTTCCAAGGGGAGTGTGTGGTAGAAAGAAAGGGGTCAGAGAGCAGTGGTAGACTGCTGCAGCATCCTCTGGGAAGAGGCTCCTGCCTCTCCTCCTGCAACTTGCCTACTCCATTCTCACCCAGTGGCGTGACTTCTCCCGTGTTGCTCACTTAGGAGTGAAGACTTGAGAGAAGACATGGCATTGTGCTGCAGTGAGAGTGCCATAAGAGACACCTCTGTGCCTGGGGAGGAGAAGACAAGGAGCAGCTTCCTGGCCTCTTTCCCCAGTTAAGCCAGAGTTGCATGTGATGCTATGTAGAAATACAGAAACATCCTGTTTGCACAGAGCTATACAAACATGCACATCCACAAATGCACACGCCTGTGGCATCTATAGGAGAAATGCAGAGCGTGGCTGGTGCGCAGCCCTGTTAGCAGTAACAAGACAGCTCGCTGCTAGGTGAGAGCGGCAGGGTTGATGCAGCCAGCTTCATCCCTGGAGGAGCAGCGTCATTCAGATGTGGTGTAGAGAGGTATTGAGACCCCAGAGGAACAAATCCAGAGGAGCAGGGCATCCTGTCAGGGTGCAGGAGGGTTCAAAATGCACACGCCAGCAAGTGACATGGTGAGGAAGAGGCAGGTGGGCAAGGGACGTGTCAGTGAGGCACTTGCTGCCTCGTGAACCCTCAGAGATGAGCAGGCTCCTCTGAGAGCATGGAGACTTTCGGTGAGCTGAGCCAGGATCCAGCACCAGCAACCTGCTGCTCCCTCTCACCTGGCCCTCCTTCAGATTCAGTAAAGACCTCAAAGTAATAGTTCAGAGTTGGCCCTTTCTTATGAAGAAATAATGTTTTAAACTAGTTTTCAATTCAGATTTATTTTCTCTGTTTGCTGGTATCAGGCTCTGCTATTTGCACATAAATTAGTTACAGATATAGTACATAGAGGTTAACATTGCTGCTGCCCTCCATGTCAACATGATTGCACACATAGCAATATGAGTTTGGCAGATGGCAACTAAAAAAAGGCAGATTCTCCTTTTTTTTTTAATCAAATGGCATTTTAAGATGGACTTTCAAAGGGCTATATCTGATTCATTACACTTGTTGCTGTGCATTCCTGTTTCATAGGTTGATTAACACACTAGTTTAAATTATGTATCAGAGAACTACAAAGTAAAAATAACTCTAAAACCATATATTAAGTTGACTGCTACCACTATGGGGGTTTTAGGCATTTTTAGTGCATTTCTGCAGATGTTTGTCTGTTCTGGAATTTTCATTAAATTAAGTTTAATGGATTTTTATTTTAGTATTTAGGTTCTATGCTGGTAAAAGAACTAAGAGGCACAGAATCAACACAGGATGCATGTGCAAAGATGAGGGTAAGTTACTAAACCTACTCGTTTCTCTGTCATCGTAATATTAAACAATATTAGCTAGTGTTTATTTAGACTGTGCCCTTTTTGTTTTTATGATGTTCTATTACCCGTTGTTTTCCATGGCCCTTGTATTTATATTGGCATACAGTAGGAAGTCTGTTCTACCTTTTATCTTAATTTTAAGTAATACCAAAATTTAAAGGTAGATTTTGTTTTGCATGTTGTATCTAAGAAAAAAAGCAAATGTATCGTTATGTTTTCTCTTGAATCTTTGAGTTTGTTTCAAAGTACTTTCCACACACTTTAAATATGCCCATATCACTTTGCTTTTTTAAACAGAATTTATAGCTCATGTATGGTAATCTAGATTGAATTTACTATGTGAAAATAGGTACTAGTATATACATTATTACATTCCTATTCAAGTCAGGAGCAAAAACACTGACTTAATGGGAACGGATAATTTTTTTAGCATAAATTTCCCAGTGAGAAAAATGTATCATTTTCCAAAACTTTCTCCCTCTGGTTGTGTTCTGAAAGTTTTTGTCTATGAATTGAGAGTCCAGGTTGTCCTAAGTCATCCTGAAGTTTTGCTGTGAAGTTCATTATTGTATGTAAGTACCACTGGGTTGTCATTGAAAATGTGGCTTCTTTTATAGTTACATTTTACTTTAAATGTACTGAGAGGGACATTTGACCTACAAAAAAAGAAGTTAAAAACTTGATATATTATTTGACTGCTTCTCATTACTGAATTCTGTCCACTTGTCCAGTGTCTTTAAGATTTTTACATAGGGTTGTACTAACATAACAGAGCAAAGTTTTTTTATTTTAGTATTTTTTTTTTCCCATTTATATATTTCTATATATATAAATATATAGCATGCCACAAGCTGAAACATGTTATGGGGGAGTACATCACCTTCTACCATGTTAAGTCCTTCCCAGCAATTTTTTAATATTTCTGGAGTCAGACACAATGGTTTTTAAGAAGAATGTATGAAAATTAGGTACTTAATTTTTCAGTCAATGTGGCTTCAGCTTCTCCATCTTCAACCTAATGCTGCTCAAAAAAGTGTTGATATTCATTGGAAGTCTTCCAGTCAGCAGATGCACAAGGACGAAAGAAGCCTATCAGTGAAAAAGAGTATCTTGATCTTCCTTAATCGTTTATAGAGACAGAAACAACAAAAATGACATGTTTGCTCACTGCAGGTCCCTCCCTGTTAGTTGTAGATGCTTCCTGTGCTTTCAGTTATTGCAATTGATGCTTTTGGTTCTCAAGGGAAGTGTCATGCAGATATCCCTCGCCTCTCTCCACAGAGGGGCTTGCAGCAGCCTCCTTCTCTTATAGCCAAAATCCAAACCAAACCAAACCTGGGAATCTCTGTTTAATAACTCTTCTTGGCTGTCCCCTGTGGTTCTCAGCATTGTGCAGCAGTGTGCTCCAGCAGGGCAGATGATGGATTTGTTTGGGGAAAATCATGCAGATGCCATAGGTTGAGCTCAGCACGAGGGTCAAGGTTATACATGCTTTTTGTTCCCACCCAAATTGCAGACTCTTGCAGCCATCCAAAATTATGGAGATTTGGCAAGAACTGTGCCTATTAGAGAGAATATACTTTATTTTTCCATTCACATATTTGTGTTCCAAGGATAGATTTATATTTTATGGTTTCCTATTTGTTTCCAGCTATTTTCTCTCACAAACTCCCTCTGCAGTCAACACTGTCTCCTTATCTCTATTCCCCACCTGCTGTAAATGGACCTTTGCTACTTGGAGATTAAATCTTGCTGTACTGGCCAGAATAGAATTATTAATTATATTTGAGAGATGCCTTCAAGAATTTAAGAGCATTCATCTTTATCAGCATGGAATAGGAAATGTTACAAGTTATGTTTTCAGTCAGATTACTGCCTTCACTTCAAACCACCATAGGAACATGAAGCAAGAATAAAATTTGTTTACATCAAAATAAAGAAAAGGAATAAAGCTTAATTGGAGCTAGAAAGAGACTTGTTCTCTACAGTAGACTACATCTGGCATTTGCACATCTGAATTTATTGACCAGGTAGGAAGGGGATAGTTTTATACTTACTGGCATGAGAAGAGCAGAAGGGTAGACTCTTTCCTTGCAGTAATGGTAAATCACTGATGTTGCATACATCAATTGCATGGTCTGAATTAATCAGATATTTACTGCAGCAGTATGGACCTTCAATTTTTTTCTTGGATCCTGCCGCCTTCCTGAATATTATGTATCCTACTTCAAGGTTTTCTTGTTAGAAAAGAGGTTCTTAAATTTCAAGTCAAAGTTCTGGGAAGCAGCAATATAATTCACAAAGCAGCTGTTTAAATATCTTGCTGACTCAAGACCAAAATGTCAAAGTTGGAATTGTTACAGAATGAGCTACTCTTATCTTGGAGAGGAAGATGAATATGAAGCAGAGTTGACTCTTTCACTGAAAACAGGCAGGGTCTGGGCCGTTCTTTCCTGATATTTCTTCTTACATAAAGAAGGAGGACCTGGATATAGATGAGAGTCTCCTTTTTTTCTGATAATCCCTTTCTACTTTTCAATCTCTATTTAATCTCTCCACAAAAAAGCAGAATTGTCCTCCATAGGCCTCCTAGTTAAACTAGCCAAGCAAATATTGTGTCAGGACCAAATACTGTATTTGAGAATTTAGATTCTTTGATCTCTGTTCTTTGGGACTTGTACCTTTGTCTCTCATGCGTGGCCACTGCTCTGGGAGGGCCTGCAGTGGAACAGGCACATAGATATTGCTCAAAAGGGAAAAAAGAAGTGGTGGGAGGTCTTAAAGATGTTCAGTCCTTATGCAAATCCACATCACGCCATTCATGTTCTGCAGAGAATTCTATGTTCTTGAACTCTGTGGCTGAAAGGAATCACGGTGCAGGAGGGATGCACTGCCCTTCCAGCAGCAGAGGAGTGTGTGCAGGTGTTGCGAAAGCAAAAAAAACCTCTCATTCTCAAGTAGATGAGTTGCAGGTGCATCCCCAGTGCAATGTTCATATTAATAGTGTAGCTTGGAGGCATCCACTAATTTTAAAGAAATAAAACAGTCTTGTAACACAGGGATTAAAGATGCTATTTTATTCCAAGAGGTATTAAATTATGTCAGTGATGCATTTTTAAACCTTTTTGACTGAGAGAAGTTAGTAAATATTTGTTACAAGGCATATTATAGTTTCAAAATTGGTTTCAGAACTAACTGGTCAAATGTTAAAATTTGACTTTTTATTTCAATTTAATCTAATGTACGAGTCAAAGTGATTCACCCAAAAGGAACTGTTTCATGAGGCTTCATAAGCCTTAAATAAGTAACGGACTTATGGGTGTGATAGTAAGTGGTACCAATACATATTTTGAAATATGCAGTTTTATGCCATTTAGAATTAATAGTTGCTACCAGTATGGGGAAATGTCCAGATTCTGTTAAAGAAGTGGATTCCAATACATAACTGAATAGTAAAATTGCCAGCTACAGTCTTCAGATAGCTATTAAAAAACAATATAGGACAGGATTAGCAGATTCATTTGCAGAAGTTAAAAGCCAAGATGAAATCTTAAGATTTTACAGGTTCATGAACTTGTACTCAAAATTTATGTATGGAATTGTTAGTGACTTGGCATAGTTGAATAATGTGGTTTTTACTGTGTATTTACAAGATCGAGTGTAATTACATACGCAGTAAGACCTAAAAGTGAATATGGTTTCATTTTGGCCACTGTATGAAAGCTGAGTAGTCCAATTATAAATGCATATATAAGTACATGAAAGTGATCAACATTGCAAAGTAGAAGTACCAATGTATCCCATTTCCTCTTGGCAGGAAATAAATAGATGAGATTAAAGCATTGTGAGAGTGGGCTGCATTACACTCTGTGCTACAGTATACCAAATGAATCTGTGAGCATCTTAGACACCATTCTACTGTGTTCCTGAATTTCTTATTTAACTGCTTTGTGTGTGTGTGTGTATGTGTCTGTGTGTGCACAGAGATACCATGTTTTGTACACTACGGGAGTATTCAAAAGTGTTGGATTCGTGCTCTCAGTTCTGCATAGAACAAGGTATTGCAGAACAACCCTGTCTTGAAAGGATTAAAGACCCTTTAGGTTATATGTTTTATATCTGCATGTATTGCTTTTTTAAAAAAGAAACAGCTAGTTTATATTGCTGTATTCCTAGAAGAAAGTCCTCTGTCTTTTAAGCCATCGTTAATTATTTTAATTTGTACGCTGGCTGGGTGGACCCCAAATTATTTGGAGTTTAGTTTATATTCTAAATAAATGTGTAGCGGTTCTGCACAGCCTTTAACTCAAAATCTAAATGCAGGTGGAAATGCTTTACTCACTGTAGACAATTTGTAGTACTATGGAAATTTGTTTAGAGTCTGCTTGCAAATATGGTGTTTTTTTCAGTGAAACTAAAGAAAATCCATTAACAAGATCAGAAGCAAGCTTGCTGTCTCACTCTTTCTGTCTCTGGCACCACTGCCCTTGGATGCCTTTATGATCGATCTCAAAAGAAGGAACTGGGAGAAGGGAACTGTCCAAGGCTATACGAGGTTTTGATGCTGTCCTGCATATTGGCAGCAGTGGGTTCAGATGCAAACTCAGAAGGGTCTTAAATCCAGACCTTTATTGTAAAAGCAAGCACTGTAGTGACTAGGCAGTTTTGGAAGAGGTGCCTTCCACCTTATTCTGCTGGACGGATCTCTATTCTGAGTGCTGAGGGAATGAAGTAGCTTCATTGCAGCAGCTGCATCAAAATACAGGAGAAGCTACTGTTCCTTATATTCTTTATTCTGAAGAAAAAGAGGCTCTCTGTCTTTTTGGGGGTCTGTGGAAGCTGAAGAAATGTCACATTAGATTCAGGATGGTGATACTTTCTTCCATCTTCCTGTGTCTGCAGTCAAGCCTGCTTTGTTTCTTGAGTTACACATGGCCTACTTCCACATAGTCATCTACCTGTTCTGTAGGAAGTATTCCAGATGTGGGACCAAAGTTCAGTCTCTCTGGCATGCAGAGTCTGCAGCATTAAAACTCCTCACTGCAGAAGCAGTGCATCTGAGGAGACAGGGTACACACATCTGTCATTACATAGGTGACTGGCTGATCAGAGACAAGCAGTGGCAGCGAGCCTAGAATGTGCTTGCTGTTCATCCAGATGATTCTCCTTAAGAAGTGTATTAAAACAAAGAGCCAAAGTTGCAGTCACAAACAATGGAATTCATAGGAACTATGACCAGTTCCAGGCTAGTGAGCACATGTCCAAAAACAAGGTCCTGTCACTATGATTGCTTCTACATGAGATAAAATCTAATCCTGATACCATGTTATGAACATGCCTTGAAGCATTAGACCATATGTTAACATGCACATGACATCCAATGCCAGCTTTCAGCTGTAGCTCCTATAACTTTGGCTGAGGTCCATATGCTTCCCATAGAGGCACCAGATGGACAAGAATATTTTGTCCTCTCATCTTGTCCTCAAAGGGTTGATACGGCGGCTAGAACCTGAAAAGACCAAGGAAAGAGAATACTGACTCCTGCGTCCCACCTTCTTCTCAGATTCTGGGAACAGGCAGAGGTGCCTACTTGGCCTGCACAGAGGTGTGAAATGTCTGACCATGAAAGCTGCGGGACTTCACCTCCACATCCTAGATTTTAGAGCCAAAGTAGTTACGGTGCCTGAGTGAACGATACTCATATTGTATCTCTGAAAACTCATGTTACACATCCTGGCAGCCAACTCCTCCTCAAAAAAGAAAGGAACAACAAGCTGATAGTATGAGATCACCATGACAACACAGAACTGTGGCAGTCTGGAAACTGCTTGGAAATAGTAATTATATGGTGGACTTCAGTTACTCTATCCCTGGGAGTCAAGCCGGGGGAGTAGAGCTGTGTGTTTTTCATTATAGCACTGTCATAATAACCAAGGATGTTATTCCACTGCCCAACTGTTTGTTGCAATGGGGATATGAGTGCAGAGTTGTTTCCCAAAATCATGTTTCAAGGCTGGACTACAGTCTTCTAGAACACCTTTGCACAAATCCTGGGGTTTGTATGGTTTGCAAGCTGATAAGGGACATCCACTGTTCCTTACCAGCTGAGTTGGCTTGGCTTAATACATTACAAATGTCTATCAGTCTCTGATTTATTTCCTAATTTGCCAGATATAATTTAATATTATCTCGATGAGCCATTTCACTCAGATACAGTCTTCTGGCAGTTCATGACCTTGATTAAATACTAAAGATCAGGTCTCCTTTAGACAAACCCAGGTGAATGGGGAGCAGATAAGGAAGTTGATTAAATTACAAACTACTGGTCTAGATGAAAGAGGACTCTGAGATGGTTAGTACAACATGGCCTCGCCAACAGGAAGCTTCACCTTTATGGCAAATGGAAGATAGCACAAATTAGACCAAAAAGCTCAAATAAATTGACTTAGTAGCTGTGTTTGTATAGCGAGAAGAGGAATTTTACTTCTAAGGAGACAAGGAAGGAGATAATTACAATAATCAAAATGGGAGACAAAGAGTTTCTGCATGCAGCTGTCAGGATAGAAAGAAAGGACAAAAGTTGGATGATTGCTGGGTTGCCAGATGATTAAAGTGATGTTGTCATATTGGCGAAGATTTTGTCTGGATATGAGCACATGTGGGTTATATCGCTTGTTATTCTGATAGATGTATGTACTGCTGCTTCCGTACAGTCACTGTTGTGCTTTCTGTGCATTAGAATTGAATTTTATGAAAAGACGCATTTGAGATCCTTTATAGAGACACACACACACATACACACCTGTATGTACTTGCTCTGCTTTTGGCAGGGATACAGTTTCTTTCTCCACTCAGTTCAAAGACATGCAAATCAGATTAGTGGGGTTTTTTCAGATTTTGTTAGATTCTACAGGATGTTTTACCATTTAAGCTTTCGGTTTTTACAAGTCCCTAACCTTCTGGGTGAAAGAAGCTTTCTCCAGGATAAATTAACAGTTGATTATCGTCCTGAGTCTCTTTTCATTTAATAAGGAGAGATGCAACAGTCCTCTCCATTACATGGATGGCTGAGGGTTTCCTTGAGACTTTAATTAGAGGTTTTAGCCTTCATGGCATAGGACATTAATTGCAGAACATAGCTGGATCTGTAGCTTTGAATTTTATGCTGTCAAAAATGGAATCTCATTTGATTCTGGAAGGAAGGAGATCTGATAAGGGGACTTGATTACAGTTTTTTTTTTCTTTTCAACTTTTGTTTGTTTTGCTCTCTAGTGTTAGCATCATCTATTTTTCAGACAGGTTTTTTTTTTTTTCAGATACTGTCTGTGTTTTCAGGTTTATATCTGTGCTATTTTATTCTTCTTGAACAATACGAAACCACCTACTTTTGTTCTGCTGTTCTAATGATCTTTCTAGGTGCCAATTCTAGACCTTTCAATGCGTTTGCACTCTCATTCCTTGTGCTGATATTTCTTCATCTTTAAGTGTAGCTAAACTTACTTTCCCCCCCAAGAAGATGTTTGCTTTGTCTCTATGATTGTTTACAGGTAACACTATTAGTGAGTGTGCTCTGAACTTTATCTACATTATTTATCTACAGTAGTTTTGTATAGAATAATCTTATTGATCATTGCCTTCCACCTTAAAAGAATTCAAACTATTGTGACATTTTTTGTTTGTTTTTTTGGGATGGGACTTTTTTTAGTAAATTTAATCTGTAAACTAATCAACAAGTTTTCTGCAGAGAACTTT